CAATAATAATAATAATAATAATAACGTTTTGATGTGTGTCACAAAGTAGTGTGTTATTATGAACCATTGTATGCACCTCCAATTTTTAACATAATCGGCTTTGCAGAGGGGGTTGGTTCGTAACTACTGGTTGTACATAAGCCCCACATTCATATCCCAGGGACTGGCTGTATTCAAACAAGCACTGACATAGATTGTATATTCCCTTGTGCTATTTGAAAAGGAGTCAGTAAATACATTAAAAAATGCATCCAAGATTTAGAAGGGATGCTTAACCAACTTAAGTGATAGACTATTTCTAAGTGTTTGTGAGTTGTTCCTTTGTATCTAGTTGAGAGCATTCATGACAAATGTTCCTAAGGTATTCATCAAAACCAGACCCAGAGTAACAACGGTATAAAGTGACAACAGTTTAAAGCTGAATTTCAACTACTTGACATCTTAAAAATCCTCAGGGATTTCTTTATTAAAATGTGTGAAGATTTACATGCAATTTCCTGACTAAGGCTGGTCTTCTCCAAAATTAGTCCCGTCATTTAAAAGATACTGCTCATATTTAGTCAGATTCAACCAAGAGCCAATAAGCCCCGGCCTAGGTATTATGGTCAATTTCATGTGTGAACTTGGCTTGGCTCTGGTGCCCAGTTGTTTGGTCAGCCCACTAGTCTGTTGTTGTTGTTGTAGTTATGTGCCATCGGGTCAGACCCGACTCATAGCAACCCCTCCTTGGGTTTCCGAGGTGGTATCACTATGGAAGTAGATTGCCCAACCTTCCTTCCGAGGAGTGACTGGTGGGTTTGAACCGCCAGCCTTCTGGTCAGCAGTCAAGTGCCTTAGGCACTATGCTACCAGAGCTCCTAGCCACTAGTCTGGTGGCTTTTAAGAAGGAGTTACATGTGATTGAATAAGCTGGCCTTAAGTAAAACAGATTACCTCTCATAATGTGAGTAGACCTCAATCAGATGAAGGCCTTAAAAGCAAAAAGGAAGGTTTCGTAGGGAGTCTTCTGCCTCTAGGTTACAGGCATTTTTCCAGAACACTCTTATTCTTCACTCTTCTCATCACTTGACATATGGATTTTGGGACACATGTCTGCAGGAGTCTATAACCTGTTGTCTGACTATGGATGTTAGTTTCACGCCTCCCCTCCCAATCACCTGAGCCAATTCCTTAACGTAAACCAATTTCTCTCTCTCTCTCTCTGTTATTGTGAATTGCCATGGTGTCCATCCCAACTCCTGGCACCCTTCTGTGGCCGTTCTGGGCCACCCTCATGCCAGGGTCTTTGGGTCCATTGTTGAGGTTGTCATGCCAGTCCCTCTCATCAAGGGCTCTCCTGTTTTCACTCACCCTCTACTTAACCAGATATGATTCTCTTCCCAGGCACTGATCCCTCCTGACAACATGTCCAGAATATGTGAGATAAAGTCTTGCCATGCTCGCATTTAAGGAGCATTCTGGCTGTACTTTTTCCAAGACAGCTTTGTTCGTTCTTCTGACAGTCCATGCTATATTCAATATTCTTCACAAACTCCATAATTCAAATGTGTCAATTCTTGCAGAGTCTTCCTTATTCACTGTCCAGCCTTCACATACATACAAGGCTGTGGCAAATACCATGCATTGGGTTAAGTGCACCTTAGTCCTCAAAGTGACATCTTTAAAGAGGCCTTTTGCAGCTGATCTCAGTGGTTCCTTTTCTCTAGAGAGTGCCTCTTTTCAGCAACTAGGAGATATGCTTTGATTAAGTATAAACGCAGTATATTCCCCTTCATCACTGGCTTTAGAGATGTACCTCAGTTCATGGGAAGGTGATTCAGACACCTGAGAGAATAAAATCACATCTTAAAGGTGTACTTTCAACCCCATGGCTTCTGTGTTTACTCTGTGGCCAAACCTGATTTTATGTTAAATTACTACTGCCATGCCCCACTCTGCTGGCCAATCCACATAGACCTGCAGACATCTTGGAATTTTCAATTACATCTGATTCTTTGTATTTGGAAATGTGAGGTTTCATGACATAGCAAATTCACTGCATGATACCACTCACACACTGGAATAAGGCAGGGAAGGATGCAGTGGGAAGGAACATCATTTCCTGAAAGGTTGTCTTCAGCAAGGAACTGTGGAGCAGGCCATTTCTTCTCCAAGTGAGTGAGAAAGTGTGGAAACCTCACAGTCGATTCTTCATTCTTATACTGTTCATTTGCACCCAGAATAAATTCATCCATTTTTATGTTCTTGGTATCCCCAAGAGAAAAATAGCCATATGCCCTTAACCACATGCACTAGTCCTTCTCCAGGTTGTCAGATACAGATGAGCACCTGATTTGAAAGGAGCAAGACTTTGACAATGGGCTCCAGTGCTGAGTACGGTATTCAACACCAAACATCGAGTCTCAGCTAACAAAATAAGAAAAAGAGAGATTGTGCATGTGAGTGCAAGTGTGCATGTGTGCATATTCCTTCAGGGGCTAACATTATTATGAGCAACATCCCAAACTCAAACCAACCCCACTGCCATCAAGTCAATTTCGACTCCTAGTGACT